CATGAAGCTAAGTAGTTCATGCCCAGCAGTGGAGTCGACCAGTTGATCAATTCTTGGAAGTGGGAAGCTGTCCTTGGGGCATGCCTTATTCAGGTTTGTGAAGTCCACACAGACCCTCCATTTCCCGCTGGACTTTTTCACTAGAACGGGGTTGGATATCCACTTCGGGTATATGGCCTCTCTGATGAAACCACTGCGATCGAGTTTACTTACTTCGTCTTTCAGTGCCTCGTACCGTTCCGAATTCAGCGCGCGCCTCTTCTGTCTACGGGGGGCATAGGAGGGGTTGATGTTAAGGTGATGGCAACTGATCCTGGGATCTATCCCCACCATATCCTCATGTTTCCATGCGAAGACATCTAGGTTTTCTTTCAGGAATCGTATCATCTCAATTCTTACTTCAGGCGATAATGACTTCCCTATGCGCAAGACTTGATTGGGATCTTTTGGATTGACTGGAAAAGTTTCCAGTTCTTCCATTGGGGTCGCGTTTGGTTCATAATCAATTATTCGGGGATCTAACTCGTCAAGAGGGTGTCCTTGTTCAAGGACCTCTTCTATTATGACATCTTCCTCTTGTTCAGAGGTATGCCCTTGTTCAGGGGCGTCGAGCATCTCCACGTCCGTACCGGCTTCAGCGGGTACTGCTAGAATTACATTGACAGTCCGCGGCTCCGATTTTCGTAGCGAGTTCAGGTAGCATGCCCTAGAGCTCATCTGATCGCCCCGAACCGTTGCAATCCCTCGTTCGGTTGGGAATTTCATGCACAGATAGTGAATGGACGTCACAGCCCAAAGATCTTTTAGAGCCGGTCTGCCCAACACCCCATGATAAGCTGACCTATGATCTACCACCAGAAATTCCATGAAATGCTGGGCGACCAGGGAGGCCGAACCCATTTCCACAGGCAGGGTAATCCGCCCTCGTGGGATGATGCTGTCCCCAGTGAATCCAAACAGCGGGTCGATCATGGGGATTAACCCATGTTCAATTTGCATTTTGTCAAAAGTGGAACCAAACAATATGTTTACGAAGCTGCCGTTGTCAACGAGCATGCGTTTTAATCCGTTTCTAGCCACTACGGCCCTTACAACCAGAGCATCGCAATGGGAATGGTGAACTCCCTCTACGTCTTCCTGCGAGAAGGTGATTGGGGCCATCTTGTTTGCTGTTTTTGATTCGTCGACAATGTAGGTGATCATCGGGGGATCCTTAGCCTCTCTTGTATAATTTCTCTGGGCATTCCTGGTGTTGCCATCGACGTGGGGTCCCCCGATGATGGTATCGATTTCTCTGATGACCTGGCTTCCAGCGAATTGAGCTTGGTTCTCTTTCCTGGATTGGACTCGGTTTCTTGATTCTCTTCTGCTAGGAGATTGTTCTTGGTGACCCCTTCCTCCCCTCCTCGGGGAGGTGGATCTGCGGGGGTGCTCATTTCTGCTGGAAGTGAGGGGGTTGCTTCGATCAGGGCGCCGGTTGGCATCCCGACACTCACTGGTGTCATGCCCATATAGTTGATGGAAAGTACAAAATCTTGCTCCTGGCAAGGGCCTATTGGGCCTCTTCTTCTTCTTCTTCTTGTCAGTTCTTCCGGATGGTGCTGCCTCAGTGGGTGCGCTATCATATGCCAATACCGGCACTGCGTTCAATGTGGCGGAAGCTAGGGCCTGTCCGGATGTGGGAGCTATGGTATGCCCTGCTTGGGTCCATTGCTGAGTAACAAGGTACGCTGCGGGGCCTCGACCTACCTGCCTCTGTGGGGGAGGGAGTCCCTGCGCGGCACGGTTACGATGATCAATCATTTCTTC